CCCTGAAATAAATTCCAGTGAATATGCCATTTCCCTCATACTATATGAGACACAGCGCAGTGAAAATTAGATTCACATGTAATGCTTGAAAACATGTCAGCAAAAATAAATTAAGTGAAATTCTACGTGACTTCATAATAGTTGGAAATGAACACATTACACCCGACCCTACCACTCCATATACAATGTAAACTACACCCCAAAACATCCTTTCACCCACAGTTACTACCGTGTTTCACCAGTGTATTCTATTTGACGTCAGGAGAAATTGAAATAAACAATAATTTCAGCCTCTAGTTTACCACTGATTAAATAAACTACCTCGTCTTTATGTCAACTTGCAGTTATTCGTTGCCTACATCAGTGACTTCAAAATATATGTTTCAATCCCAGGAATTTCACTCGCTGTTAATTGCATGGGAGTGGCAGTCTTTAATGAATTTCTATTGTCATGTCAATTTCTTGCGATTACTCGAACATTAAGCTGTAACCACATACCGCCTAGGTGCTGTAATTAAATCCTGGTGTAAGCACCATATGAACTATGAACAATGCATGTGAAGCCAGCTGTGGGGTATATTCAATCCTATAGATTTCTCATTGTTTGGTAACTATTTGCTGCAAATGCAACAAAAATCAATATAAAAAATATTACCCACACAGTATTCTACAGGTTACTTGTTGGGATTAGAACCAGTTGGTTGGAATTATGGTCTTTCAAATGTGTTTTTACGCCAGTAATAGAAGTTCAACAAATGCAGTGCCAAAAATACAATGACTTGTATCAGTTATCGTCCCACCGCTGTTTTGACCTCCATTTTCATGGTCGAGCCGACATATTTGATCCCAATTTTAAGATTTTCGGGAACTTTAGCAACATGTAGAGCGTCATTAGCGAAAAATGTTATAGTCAAAAAGCGCACTCAAGGTCAATCTTTCAACTGGCTGCAAAGCACTCCCACACAAAATGCAGGTGTCCCCCGTGACGGGGGGGGGGGTCGCTGTTTTCGGACTTGGCGACTATATTGAAATACAACTAACTAATTAACTCCGAGAAAGCAAGCCTCCGCCACAGTTACAAAGTACTAACCCCTACATTGATAATCATTTAAATAATAATAATAATCATTTCAAATAACCCGGACTTGCTTTTCTTACAGCTACTGCTGTACAAATTTCTCAAGGAGAAGGATATTCTATCGACTGCAGAAAAAGACATGATGAAGAAAGCCCAAAGCAAGATAGTTATTTACATGAACACATGGATGCATGTTGTGGCCTCTGCACCTGGTGGTCTTCGAGTAAGGGACATGGTCAATGGCGACTGGGGATCAAATCGTTATGCAGGTATAATTAATATACAACTTGTAGTTTTTAGTGTCACGTGGTATATTTTTTTCTGAGTACGCAATGAAATCCGCAATTGTATTACAACTTTTCCGCAGTTAGTTTTATAATAATTTCATCTTTAGTCGTCTAAATGTATATCACACAATTACTTGACATGTTAATGTTTCATTCGCAATAGCGCGTTAAAAGGGTTAAAGTTAACCAACGAGCATACACATCGGCAAGTTAAACGAATATGAGGTACACCGGGAACTCATAAGTGGTAAACTTCTCTGGCCACAATAGGCGATCGTTTTATCTATTCAATTGCAGTACAAAACACATTTATAATATCTTATAACGTTGCACATCACAATAAAACCCATACAATGGTCAATTTGTTAAACTAACCACATTTGGTCGTTTTCTACAGGTATCCTACACAAAATACTCTCTTAACCAGTGCGAGCCATTTTCTATTTGTATCGCAACCGACTTCTTACAAATTGCAAGTCATTATTGATAATCGTTTTGTTTGTCGGAATGTGTTTTTAACATCTCCCTTCTTACCATGTGTAGCGAACAGCGCGTTTGTTGCGCTTATGGCCGCCCATTACAGTTTGAAGATGACGTACAATTCACGAGAATACTCATTCTATGAATGGAGACGTTTTGCTATTGAGCAAATCCACTATATGCTAGGAGATCATGGACAATGTTATGTTGTCGGGTTCGGAGACAACTGCTGCAAACGTCCACATCACAGGGGAAGGTAAGTTTCCAAGAAATTGTGTGAAGTTTCTGGTGGGTGTTATTGATTGGTTGGTTCAAGTGTGCGGGTAGGTGCGTTACATCAGCCAAGCTCATACAGAGAGTACTGAAGCGGCGAGAAGGAGTGACACTTACAGTCGCCAACGTGTTGCGCACAGCACTATTTACACGTTATACATTTGTATGGTGTAAGTTTACTGGGTTATTTTAAAATAGTGGTTTAAACATTCAATATAGCTTTATTACATTTATTTAATTCATTATGTGGTCAATTCTAAACAGTCATTTCCCACCTACCAATCAAGATTTGTAGCCAATATCTATTAAATACAAAATTGTGGAAACAAAATATAAAAGTACATAAACATGATGCACAGAAATGCTGGTGGGGAAAATATAGGGTTCAAAAAGTTTAGCGTCACAGTTGTCGTACAGCGCATGCTCGAAATTCGTGTAAACGACTTTGTACACATATCAAACATGAGACGGTGTAACGACTGTGGTGGCGCTGTCTTTTTACAAACAACGCTTGCAATTGACGATAAACTAATTTTATTTCTTTGACTTGGCGCATTGCAGCTCTTGTCCAAAATCAGATACTTGTGGCATGACCTATCTCAATATGAACGCTGACAATCCAAATAGATTAGATGGTGCATTATGTGGAGGACCTGACATAAATGGAGTGTACACAGACAATAGAAGTGATTACTTTCACAACGAGGTGACGTGTGATTACAATGCTGGTTTCCAGAGCTCAATAGCAGGTACGCTGAATTAGTAATATCCACTGTCTCATTCGTGGATGATTAAAAACAGACAATAATGTTGATAACGTTGATTAGTTTTGAAAATGTTTGAATAATTTAAAGTATTTCAAAGTGCATACTCACTAGCGTTTTTATACTGCATCGACTGAACACTGCATTTTTTCGGTCAAAACATCGTTTTATTTACAATAATCATATAGTTCCATCAAATTCAGTATGTTATTCCATGAAATGCATCAGGCCATTATTACCGAATAGTCAATAATCTGAAAATGTCACGTGTATATTTATTTCGTAGCTCTGAAGAGTTTGCAGATGGCTGGATTACTAGACACACTTCATGACTAATTATTGAAATCAATTCTCACAATCATTGTGATCAAGAACCCAAGTTGTGTTGTAAGCTTTCTAGTCAGTGAATATCCTGAACATACCAATAGCATGATATGTTAGATATATGAATTTCCCAGAAAATGTTACAATAGCCTAATGTGATACTAGTTTACAAGTAATATGTTTCTTGGAAATAAAACCCTTTACTACATCATGAAAACAACCGACTCGAATTGTTTATATAGGAAGAATTTGATTGGTCGCCGTAATTCATGAATAAGAGACGTGTTTCCTGATTGAATGGGGACAAGATACCTTACTGTGTATATTGCATAACGGACGCATTCATTATTAGCAATTGTATTTTGGTTTCTAAAGCAGACTTGTGATTAATTTGAGAAAATTTGCCTCTCAAACAGCGTTCTATCTTGTCCCATCATCAAGTTCAAAATACCATGATAAACAAAATCAACAGTAGATTCGATCAACGGGCGACAATTGATCTCCGCGGCCATTTACGTGTACGGTTTAGTGTACAGGCTGCACATATTAAATCAGGAATCCCAGAATTGTTAGACCCGTCTGCTAAAGCGGGAGGGTCGCTACCTGCGCACGCGCGGGAATTAAACCCCAAGCGACGATAACAACACAGGCCAAAAACGCAAAGGCTAATGGGTAGACGCTTGTTTGTAAACAATGACACGCTATGGCCATCTGACGCATGCGCAGGTGACGACTCCACGCTTTAATACAAACTGTTGGCTCCATATGTACATTTCTGTCTGTAAATCAACTAAAAGTGAGTCTGAAACCATTTCACGAACAAGGATGTCAGCATTCTATATATATTGTTTTGTAGCGTACCGTCTTGCAAAACAACTGTGGACATTTAGTAATCAAGGATAAATAATATTTTTCTATAAATCGCGCATTCTAGTGACGTGATGTAACGATTAAAAAAATGCGGTAACTACGTCTACATTGTTTTCACCTGTGCTCGTCCGTCAAAAAAAAATATTATTTTGAGATACTACAATATTGTAAATAATTAACGACTACACCGCCAAACTCAGTTGGTACCTTTAACGACATTGCGTCCATCTATCCACGTCATTGTGACGTCATAGGAGCACCTTACCGTTAGAGGGCGTGATTTATAGCAAAGGCGTATTGTTTAATGGTTAAAGAGGCATAATTGCAAATAAGGTGTTTAGGAATGTTTACTTTTTCGCTACATCAAGTTAAAATGGTTTTTTATATTTTTAAAATGATAACCTATGGGAGTCAGTTCAAGTGGAATCGCTGTATTTAATGTTCCAAATTCCTTCTGTGACGTAAATTTTGTTTAATGTTGCAGTGATGTATTATTCCTTTCACACATAAAGTCTACATAAATTACGCCATTCTGGAAACAGGAAAATACTGACTAGTACCTCTCGTTTTACTGTGACCAGTCACATCACATATGGTGTGTTATAGAAATAATAGTTGTCAGCTTTTCATGTGGGAATATTCATCTACATGGTCAGTCTAATGTGTTCAATATGTATACATACCTTAAAACTAGCAATTGATTGCTTGACGTGTTAAAACTGTTCTGACGTATGAATGCAAGATTTATTCTTGGAAAATATGACACATGATATAGAACCATCAAAAACTTATTCGACCGGTGATGTAATTGTGAGTGGGCTTTAATTTGCTTTACTTTAATTTGTTCGTTTGTTTGTAATTTGTTTTAGAGTGATTTTATACCCCACTGAGTATACCATTTTATTCCACGACGATTCATGGCGGTTCATTTGTCCCAAGACACGTATAACACGCGGGTAAAATACATTGTTTGTTTACATAAACGATTGTACCGCTTCAATTTTATGGACCGGTGTCTCTGTATCTGGGTTCTCTTGCAGATGAATTTGAAACGTAGTAGGTAGTGCACTGTGCCATTGTTGTTTACTGGATATCAGTCATTTTGGCAAAAAATAAACGAAATTCCGATATGGTATAGCGCTCGTTAACAAGTACATTTAATATTGGCTTGCGTTTATTAGAACCATGTGAATGTGACACCACATTACATGTTGAGGGCGCCATACATACTGCATTACTCCAAATATAAGAAACAGACGTATTTGGAATGCAAATCGAAATTTAATGCTTCAAATCTGAGCTAAAAACTGTGCTAATTCATCACCAATACATAATTCATGATAATTCTAGATATGGTAATTTGCCCTCCGATTTCAGAACACTCAAACCTGTAAAGAAATATATTGCCTTGTAAGTGACATCATATTGTCCCGAGCATTGAACATGATTTGTATATTTGTACCACAGCAGTATTGCGCATGCGCTGTCAGTTCTTTCCCATGCAATATTATATCATGAAGAATAAATTATACTAACTATATTCTATATTTATGAATAAAACACACATAGGATAAACGATAACAACTAGAGCAGCATCATCCTGAAAACAAAACTCGGCTCGAAACTAATTGAACGAAACAAATATTTTGCACAATGTTTTAACCACTCCCTTTAACAAAGCTTGTATGATCACCTACTGTAAAATTTTGGAGGTTGTAAACGCTCATATATCAAAATCTTACCTGCGACTGCACTCTGGAAGCCTGCATTGAAGTCACAGGTAACCTCGTTATGGAAGTAGTCCTCCCGGTTGTCAAAGTAACCGCCATCTTTGTCTGGTCCCCCACACAATGCTCCTTCCAATACATGTGGATTTGGATCGGACGTGGTGAGGAAACCGAAACCACAAGATCCTTCAGTCGGACAGGAGCTGCAAGTATAATATATATAAATATATATGTATGAATTAACACCATAGTAGCACTACCCTACTGTTAAAAACTTGGGACATCGTACGTTTGATGTCACCGTTTCCGGTGGGGGTGTCCATTGTGTGCTTCTCAGACAACTAATATTAGTTGTCTGGGGTGCTGTGAAATATATTTGGGGGGGCGGGGTGACGTACAGTTTGAGAGTACCTGTCTCTATGATGTGGACGTTCACAGCAACCATCAGCAAAACCAACAACATAGCACTGTCCATGGTCGCCCAGCATATAGTGGATTTGCTCGGTAGCAAAGCGTCTCCATTCATAAAATGAATAGGGCCTTCCATTCTTCGGCATCTTCATGTTGTAGTGGGCAGCCATTATCGCAACGAATGCAGTGTTAGCTGAAACACAAGGCATATAATGACATACAAAATTAAAAAAAACCATCCATACAAACATAGTGGAAAGATCACCATTTAAATATTAAATGTTGTTAATGTTTACAATTGGATTCTTTTTAACTAGATAAACTACTAATTCCAGCTTTTTAAATAATTTATCTAATTCGTTTTATATGTAAAATAACCATATATAATATGTTATGAGACTGACAAATCGTGAGTGTTCGTTTTCCCGTGAAACAACACGTCATCAATTTTATTGCAATAAATTCTAGATTGTGCTTTTTTTTTATTTATTTTTTCAATTATTTAAAAAATAGCAAACATAAAATAAAATGAAATAAAATATATGAGATAATATGTCATATTTTATTCAAATTGAAACGTCGGTTACCGTTAAGATATTCCAATGATATAACATAGGTACACGTATTTAGTGGCAGAAGTCAAATTCGTAGCTAAATAAAGGCCCGTCCGCTGCTAAACATCACCACATTGAATTCGAAAAACTAAAAAACTAAATTCAAATTCTGTTTCTTTTTGATAAAATGTTCTTTTTATTACAATATTTATCTCCAGTTGGCTAAAATTCTAGTTCTGAGATGCACACGCATAAAATTAAAACCATTGTCATTTTATTTTAGTATGACATAAAAAACTGTACCCATGATCAGTATAGCCATTGAAAACATTATACTTCGACCATCACTAATTCACACAAACTGGGGACAACGCCCGGAGTCAAGAAATGGATTTGTTGTTTTGGTGACATTATGAAGTAAATCACGTTGCCGTTTTAGCAACAGTCCGGTGTACAGTAAACCGTAAAGTTTGTACCAAAAAAGTAGGTTAAAACAATAGAAACAAAGCAAAGAGTTATATAATGCGAATTAATGTACGACCAGATGAATGGGTCAAATGACCCAATAGTAATATCAATACAATTTTTGAAAGATTGTCACTTAGGTGATCCACAAATTTTCTTGTTAGTTAATGTGTTATAAATTCATATATGAATAAACTACAATATACCAGGTTTCATTTGCTTTTGTAAAATATGGTAGTATTTGATAGAATTGAAAATCGATGGCATATATTCAAATCCATGTACAACAAACTGACCTGCATATCTGTTTGAGCCCCAATCACCATATGGTATGTCTCTTATACGAAGACCACCTGGTACATAAGGGACTCTGTGCATCCACGTGTCTAAGTAAGTTACAATTTTTCCCATTGCCTTTTTCATTGTGCTCTTCTCATTACTGTCAGCGTCTGCCTTCAGCGAAAGGAATTTATATAACAGTAGCTGAAAATGAAAAAAAAAACGAAGACATTTTGTTTACACTAACGTCAGAACCAAAATCATTTGCAATCATTTGTTTTTCTATCATCATCCCTTCAAATGAAACATGCGGTCTTGGATCGCGAGTATCCATTGCATCACTTTCCATTTTATTATTGTTAGGATTGCTCGACTGAATAAAGATCATCACATTCACACTAGGGGACATTTCTTGATGTGCTTTCCAACAGAAATGTGTTAAAGAACACTCACATGAACAGCAGGGCGTTTGTCTCCCCAGCTCAGTGATGCTGCAACAGCCTGCAGGGCTCCTGTATTGTCGTCAAATTCGTCGGTTGCTTCATCAATAAAGATCTCTTCCTGTGCTTCGAGATCATACAATGGCACATAAGTTTCAGTGTTTTCACCACCATTTCTAACAAGGTGCTCTACGACGTCCTCCATCAGACCTTCTCCTGCGTGAGCATCGGACAGGAACTCGCTCTGTTTTGTAGCATAGTATAGGAACATTGACGCTTCGACAATCTCGTCCCAAAAACTTCTTGAACTACATATATAAAGCAGTATTAGGAATTTATAATGAAAGAACACAAGAAATGATCACTACGAAAGATCACACCATGTGCCCAACTTAACGCCCAAGTTAATAAAATGGATCTGGTAGTTTCAAGGAAATTTGAAAAATTAAGCTTAAGTTTAGTTTAGTTAATAGTATGGTCGAGCAGGTAAACTTAATGTGACTTGCATATGATGGAATGTTGCAAACCAAATATATATGTTTATATTCTATATTTTATTTTATCATGACATATGTGAGTAATTCTATCGAAAATCAAATAAAAAAATCAATGTTTTGGTTAATAGTACACTTTACCACTACCAGACTCACCATATACTATTAAAAGAAATCCTTTCATAGAATTCTTGACGCATTCTCTTAAATATTATTCTGATATTTGAACAAATATTTATTATTATTATACATATGTCAGCGGAATGCCTTAGGTTACAGCGTGCCGTAATTTTGCGGTATTTTACAGGGTATTTTCACCCTACCATATAAGGAAATGCGAATTCCAAATATGGAATGATTACGCTCGTAGCGTCCTCTAATAATAAAAACAAACATGGCTGCTACCAGGGTTTTACCGGACTCCACACAAAAAAAGTTCGCTGATTCTGTTCTCAACGTTTTGGATTTCGGCATTCCCATGATGTATTCTTGGAAGGAAAAGATGTATAATAATAAGGTTATTACGAGGATTTATTTGAGGTATCCTCGTATTAACTTTATATTATATGATTCAGTATAGTGTTAGACTTTTTATATCAGTTATGATTCTAAATTTATAGCAATCTTTTTAAAAAACGTGTTTCCTAAATAATTGACAAAAGTTAAAACTATGCATCATGTAGAGATAATATCTGTCTTACAATACAATATGTGAAAGGTATGTGTACACAAACTGTGACTAATACATTCACTTGTAGTTGATTTAATTTAATTTTTTATTTTTGTATTATTGATAGATTATTGATAAATTAATTATGGATTCAAACATGCTAGGATAAAAATACAATACACAGATATACTGATTTAGTTACAGCCTAATAATTATGTATACCACTACCAATTATCATTCGTCCAATTACACATTTCGGTGAATGAATTTAAACTCTTAAATGTTCACGAAACTGTATACGTCCTTAAAGGAGGACCGCTTAATGTGTATTAGGACAGTGTATGTATTTTCCTTTCATGCCGGCAATGTGCAATGTGTATATGTTGGTTTCCTTTTTTGTGCAAATTAGACAAATCTATGTATGTACCTGTAGAACCCGCTCTGTCGGTAGACTCCCCTGCAGTCCTCGTGTTTTGCGAATTCGTAAAGGCGGAAAGCAGCGTCCAGTGCTTTCCTGGCAAAGACCGTATCTGTAATTCAGCAATAAGACTGTAGCTCAATATATATTCACTAGGTGTAAATCAGCTAAATTCACCCTAAAACCGTCGGATTACGCTCACAGGGAAAAAAACGCCAGTTCTTACCTTGATATTGAGTTGTCATGTTGAAAGCCATTGAACACACACTTAAAGCGGAAGATGTTTCTCCTGCTACGTCCGAGCACGGATTGTCACAAGTGCACGTGTAGACATCACGGTTATTTTCAGGCATATCTTCTGCTCGACCCCAGAACTCGTGGTCTTTTATGGGGTCTCCTACCTGGAACGTAAAACAGAAAGGTAATCTACCAATGAAGGTGCAAGATATGCCCAACTATTTTGTAATAATAATAACATCACTGAAAGATGATTACAGCGTAATATATAAACTGATATATAGGTATGTATTAACTATATAGTTAATTTATGAGATACATTACTGAAGCAGAAATCCAATATCCAATGTTCAATTCAAAGTAAGCTAATAAAATAAAGTTGATAGTTGACAAAATCTGAAAAAAGTTATTGTGCCCATTTGAAAATATATGCATTTATTTACCTACAACACACTTTATATAGAATGGGAAATACTAATTAATAACGCCATACCTAATCACAATCACAATCCCTAAGTTATCAAGAACAACAAACAATAGATAATAATAAAAACATGATGATTTAAGACGGGTTCAAATACGAACATTGTTAGGTAGAGATGTCAGGATTTGTACATTTATATAAATTATGCTACCTGGTAGTAAACTTTGACTTTTGTTATGTCTGGGTCATCATCCAATGTCTTTATAAAATATTCACATGACCAACGGATGTTGTCCAGTAGACGCCCAACTTCACCGGCATTCTTGTAGGCATCGAAGAATTCAATAAATCCCCATCCCAATAATGTAGTGGCGGATGCCATAGGTAGATTGAATTTGACGTGGTCGCCGGCTGAAAAGTAAAAACAGTCGATTGTATGCCAATACTAACGGCACTATCTCGGTACGGGTACATGGAGACTGCAGACATATTACGGCATGGAGGATATATATAATTAAAACAGGCAGTGCTAATTCAGCAGTAAAACAGAATATACCCAAGTGCATTTTCACTCGACCAAAACCTACCATCGTACCAGCCTCCTGTTAAGTCTTTGTTACTGAGGGATCCGTCTGCTAATGCGGAATCACTGCGCCATTTAATACGATTTCCGTCCTCGGGTAATTTGCCGGAACGTTGGGCTTCGTAAAACTTGTCAGATAACCGAAGTACTACGTTGTAGTCATACATCTCTAAAAGAGTAAAAGTGTTCATAGTACGGGCAGTCGTTAGTCCTTTAGGAATACTGTAAAATGCATTGGGAATATTAGGCATACAAACAGTTATTACAAAATCATGTAGCCTGGCATGTAGGCGTGAGGCGTCAGATCTCATCGAACCTCAGCAGTGTTAGGTTTGGAGCACCGCGGAGGACGGACTCACGCAACTTTGTCAGGTGAAAAATCATGGTGACCTTTAAAAGTATATGACGAGTTTCACTAGATTATGTAAGAACTTTTTTTATAACTTATTTATTTTCTTGGGCTGACACTACATGTAATACATTTCATGAATACACATTTAAAAGACACTTCAAGTAATCCATATGAAGATGTTACTTTAAATATGGTATCAGGGAAGACGACTTCTTTTTGTGTGACGTGTCTTTCTCTTTTTGTTTGGCGATCACACTCTCAATTTGATAATGATGTTAAAGTAAATTAATAAAATTTGCATTTTGAGTAGTATATGTGGTGCCTGACCAGTGAGCAAACAAAGTCCACCGGCCAATCGTACTCCGGGTCTACCAGGCACCTCTGTGATTTTCAGTGGTCTTCCCAGTTCCTTGATAACATCATGCCAGAGGAATTCAGTAAATTTACATGTCATAAAAAGGTGTTCATATGTTTCACTATATTCGTTACAGAAAATACATTGGTATTCAGGGAAGCGTTCTGGACTTACTTTGTGTAAATGTTCATTTGTATACAGTATATTATGTAATAACTTGAAATGAAATTCTCTGGATTTTGTATCAATTGATTACCTTGTAATCATTTTATACATTTCCTTCCATTCAATTTCCAGTTTGAGTTTTCTCTCTAAAGAACATTCACTTATTGGTTTCACAAAAATTTTGCTGATGAATTCTGTTTTAAGCATATTTTTGGTCAAGTCTTCCTACAAAATTTGCTTGATTTTGTATAATGATAGTTGTTTCCCTATTTTCTAGAACTTGACAATGTTTCAGTTCCACTGGAACAGTATTGCATATCCCAATCCATTTTAGTTTATCAATAAGTGCTTATTGTATGTTTTAGCCATAATATTCTTTGTATTTACTTTAATACATACAAGTCTATCATTCCTATACCTCCTCTGCCCACCCCGCTTATCATGGTTTTCCTTGCAATACGATCAACCATATAAAATTATAAACTATTTCTTTTAAGACACTATTTTTAACATTCGTATGTGCCAGTATATAAGTAAACTGGGATAATCCAAACGTCTTGATAATTTGAATTTTTCTGCTTTTCCACTGATTTAAAACTTTCCTCAAATTATTTAATGGTTTTTCAATGTTTTTCTTTTGCATTTCTTCTTTGTCATATGAAAAATGTAACAATTTTGATAGGCGAGGTGGGCCATTTGACCCCAAACTTTTCCTCGTTTTTGTTTTCCCATTTTCCCAACCAGACTGCCTCAGTTTTATCCCTGTTAATTTTTAACCCGCTACATTCATAGAACTTTTTCAACATCTGCATTAAATTGTCAACTGATTCACTATTGGATAGAAAACACGCCATGTCATCCGCAAATGCAGATTCTTTGACCTCCTTTACTGCTTTGGTGATGCCAGAAATATTTCTGTTACCCGTATACTGATAAGCAGGGTTTCCAGTCCCAAGATAAAGAGGGCTGGTGACAGTGGGTCCCCCTGCCGTACACCTCTTTGGACTGAGAAGTAACCTGTGCCGTACCAATTATTTATTACGCTACTTTCAACATTAGTATACATTGTTTTTACTCATTTTATAAAACTTTCTCCAAAGCCAAAATTGTGCAAGTAAAAAACTCCAGTTAACCATGTTAAAGGCTTTTTCGAAGTCCACTGCCATTAATATGGCTGGCAAATTCTGCTCTTCTGTATAGTTATAGATTTCATCAATTAGCCAAATGTAATCACCTACTTTGCGTGTTTTTACAAACGTCCGCATCTAGTTTGTGTAAATTTTAATTTAAGTTGGACTTCGAAGTGGTCTGACTGAATACCTGGAATTATTCCTATTTTATCCACATTATTTTGTAGATTATCCCCAATTAAAGTATAATCAAGTCTACTCTGTATACCATATGGCATCCTTCTTCGCCATGTAAATCTTTTCCGGTTTGGATTATATAACCTCCAAATGTCTACCATGTTAAAATGATCCATATCATTTATGATATCAATAGATTTTTTCCAACTTTTAGGATTCCCTCCATCTCTATCCCGCCTAATATCAAGGACACAGTTTAAATCACCTCCCCAGATAATTGCACTTTCAGGTTCAAATAAGTTTTCTAGTAGCAACTGGCGAATTTCTGATATATATTTATTGTGATCTATTTCTTGGTTTGGCGCATACGTATTTAAAATTATGAAAGGTTTTTCATCAATCACGGCATGGAGCAGAACATACCTTCCATTTGGGTCATGTACGCATTTCTTAATAGATAAATTTAGATTCCTGGCTATCACCATAACACCTATGCTGGTCCCTGATCCATGGGCAAACCAGCATTGCCCTTTAAATTGCATGGACCAAAACATTTCGTCTCTCGGTACACTATGTGTTTCTTGTAGGAAAATCAGATTAGCTTTTTTCCTGTTTAACCAAATAGACATTTTTTTCCTTTTGTTATACCCTCGTAATCCCCTAGCATTAAATGTTAGTACATTAATTTCTATATAGTAACATGTATATTGTACATTACAACTCGTTTGCAGTGTCCCACTATCCGTTTACCCTGTGCCCATGTTATAACCCTAACAAAATTAAATGAGGAGTAATAAAAACACAAAATGAATATTGAAATAACAAACAGGGAGGCACGTCCTGACATACTAATACCCAATGCACAGACAGGATAAGGGGGAGTCACAATCAGGTGTCAACCAACTCCACAAACAATTTGCTTTCGATTGGTTTAGTTTAGAATCTCCTCGACTGGGCAGTCTCAGGTTCTGTACCGTTAATTATATACATATGGAAAGGGAGTACTTTTATTTAAATGTCTTTGACTGTCATGGATTGAAGCTTTCCTTGGGCGTCTTCGACCATTAATGTGCCTGGGATCCTCCATGCTATGAAGCAGGTTTTATCAGGATTTTTAGCTTTGAATAACGTTTTGTACTCAACCAGCCACCTACGTTCCGCTTGTACCACAGCGCTCACATCATCCTTTACAAAAATGTGATTTCCCTTGTATGAGTGGTTTCGCAATTTTCGTGGTGCCGCCATTAGTATGTTCCTTGCTTCTCCTGCACTTACGAAGGCTACCTTTATGGGTCGGTTTCTTGCTACTGTTTCTTCTAGTTGCATCCAAAAATGACTGGTCTCTGTGCGCCCTCTGTATTGCTACGTATAAAGTCCACACTTCCGTTGCTTCTTTTTTCCGCTCCTTCTGGTATAATTCCGAAGTTTATGTTGATTCTTCTTCCTCGATTTTCCTGATCATCTTGTTTCCATTTCATCTTCTTTATTTCTATTTCAGTTTCCTTGAGTTGTTTTCTTAGTTCCATCACTTCTGTTTTCATAGCGGTGTCTTTCCCTTCTTCTATTTCTTCAATCTTCCGAGTTAACGGCTCTATCTTTTCTAACTCTGATTTAATTTCCAATATCTTCTTCAAAATAATCGTTATTTTTTGATCGGTGGTTAGGTCCAACATCCCATCAATGTCGCCTGTCTGTCCGCCATCTTTATCTTTTTCCCGGTCCGGTGGGTTTCTTCTCGTTGTTCTCCCCGTTGCTTGTATCATCTGGGCGAGTTTTCTCTCTTTCCCTTTGCTGTTAGACTGGTTACTCTCCATACTGCATTCAAACTTTGATGTTGGAGAGATAATCCTGTATAACTTTTCAATTCTTGTGCAGCCGATCGGTTTCGATAACTCGGCCACTCGCGCATGCGCACCTTCCTTATGTAAGATCTTTACGTCCATCCTAATTGTGAACACATATAATCATTTACAATATTTACAATATTCTTGTCAATAATGTCAGTTCTATTTGACTGGTAGACATCGTATCGCGTAGAGCTTTACTAAGAGTACATAACTGTCTAGTGCAATGTTCATTGATACGCCAGTTTATCACCTAAACTCTCACTGATTCTAGATCCGAGAGACGGTCAGACAGAGAAAACAATTTTCGTCGTGGATTTTGTTTTGTTCTTGTCAATATACATTGCCTTTGTATTTACTAACATGTCCATCAATATTGAAACATTTAGTAATTTTATAAATGTAAACATGGTTTATAGTAATTGTTTTTTTTTTGGCCTGCGACGTAAGATAAATAAAAATATGAAGAAACTCTCTTATACTTACTCGAACAGAGTGGTTTATAGAAACTCCAGTAGTTTCCCAATTTGCTGTGGTAATTGCATTCGATAGACTCGGCTCCGTACATTGTGAAATCATCATTGCATTTGAATGTCAGTTTTTCACCTGTAGGAACTTGACCTTGTTCCTGCCCCGAAGTCTGGGACCCATACCGCAGCTCACCTGGATGTTCGCATCCCACATCTACGGGTAGAGGTTGTTGGTTAGTTTTTTTGTCCTTTTTTTGCTGGAAATAATACTTTGATGTTGGCAAGACTGTTTCTCTTGCAAATATGCACGACGAAAATCATGTTTCTTTTGTGTAGTCTGTACGAAGACATATAGGCAATAGCAAATAAATAAAAAAACTATGAAGTACAATTTATACCGGGTCAGAATTTCATTTCTTAATAAAGAACAAGTTGGATTATGATGCTACGGTGGCTTGTTAGGGCCATTCATTGTTGTTCGAATTTCTCACATTTTCACCTGTATTTTTCGGCTTGATTTCGAATTTCCGAAAATTTCACTTTATTTTACACCTCGGGGTGAATATTTAAACCGCGGTGTAAATATTTAAACCGCGGTGAGAATAATTTTCTGCATAATGTCGAATTTCCGACATTTTCACTTTAATTTACACCTCGGTGAGAATATTTTTCTCCGCGGTGGAAATTAAAGTGGAATTGTCGGAAATTCGAAATGAAGCCGAAAAATACAGGTGAAAATGTGAGAAAATGTATGATGCATCGTTAACTAAAATTAGCATACACAACATACATCGTTCGATGAAAAATGAAAAAAACACACTAATACGGTTGTGCAATGACTGTACGTAGTAATACAATCATCCAATGCGTCAACGTTTTTTATACATGATGAATCATATTCAAATATAGTCATTAACACACATTATCAAACAACAATATTTGTTATCAAATGAACATACTTGTTCCATTCACTAAATGAATATTTTGTTAAAAGTGACATCTGTTGACTTTTAGTATTCAAAGGCAGGCCTGATTCAAAGGGTTAAGATTTTTATCTTTTAGTTATAATGAGGAAAAATGCTCGGTGATGTATATCGCGCCCTCTAGCAATCTGATTATTACAATTTGAATCATGAATGAGTACAAGTCTCATGCCACCAATGTAAATGCCTTGCCAGAACCAATGACATTTTTAAATATTTTGTCTCAGGTACGCCCTGTTTGAGGGCGTGCATCACCTGGGTCAAAGGTGGGACTAACATGTGACCTTTTGTTTACTAATTTTGTTTATTGCTTCGCGGCGTGCTTGAGGATTTATCTGTGTGTGTATTTGGATGTTCTAATCTTGGTGTTTTTCCAGTGATTTGTCTAGATGCAATTCAAATTCAGTAGGTGTGTCTTGTTTACCTGAGATTTGCAAGAGTTTTTAGCTGACCAACAAACAAACGTTCTTTGGCTGTCGAAGATGGCCAACATGTTATATGGTTGATTACTGGCATGCTGATTACCCATTTTTGAGTCATGTTTTCAACCTTGTTTATCATTTTCATATAGCAATCTCCTCATATGTTAACATTGTCGTCTATGGAGTTTCAGTTAGTGGTATGAGCCCTGCTACAAAACCAAACGCAGCTGTTTTTTTGAGAGACATTGCTTAGACCCACCTACGCCAATTTACGCTATTTACAGTAATGCTTATTATGAGAGTTTTATTTGGAAATGGCGATGGTCAATCACACAATCTATATTTATAGTAAACGTAGCTATAATCATTAATGTAATATAAATCTTACCTGGAACAGTTTTCTTGCCTCGTTTAACAATAGAATGTAATGTTTCTGCTGATCGTTTTGACAATGTTGTATTTTCTTCCGGGGCTAGTTCTGCAGGCGGAGGCTCATCAACATCACCTGTAGGGGTTCCTGAAACTGGGTACGAAAACAAATATGTGAGTATATATTTCTCGTTTTCTCATATATTATGGCAGTTACATATCTATGTTTCCATGCTATGTAAACAAATCACAGTAATTGGTCGCCATTCAACTATTTCAGATATTAGCATCGCCATTTAGAAATAGATTTTCTCAAAAAATAAAGAACAATTAGTTCAACAATTAGAGAATATTGATTATTTATTCAGAAGTAGTGGCTGCAATTAAATATATCAGCATATATATTCTATTTGGCGTAGTCATAAATTGGGTTTCAAAAATATGTGGGTCACTTTGAAAGGAAAGTTATTGTACTCCTTAAACTAATTAGGTCATGAGTGAATGAAAATTACGACATCATGTTTGTTTAGGTTACAACGGAGAGACCCTTGCCAGTATTGCTCGCCTACTGTAATAGTTGTAAGCTGTAACTGGTCCATTTTGATCATGAAGAGGTGTTTTCGTCCTATAAGTAATTATTATTATTATTTATTAAATCTTTATTGCTGGATATAAAGTGAAAAAGCACATACATTACAGATTAAAATAACCATATACATATAGAAAGAAATATAAATTCGGCAGAGTAGCTGTGGTGTATACATACATTGATAAAATGATGATAAAATCACTACAACGATCCTACTGTCAACTATAATAGCCGTGTAATAGAGTGAAAAAAGCATTATTATACGGAGATCATTAATACTTTTATGATTTTGTTGAAACCAAAGCTGTGAATAATAAGATTCGAGACAATGTAATTTTTACTTCACCACTACTGAAGGTAGAACATTTTCGAAGCAGTATAAGACCGAATCTGTCGTTTTATATCCACATCTTTCATATCCTAGATAAATGTGCTTATGCACAATTTTAGTTTAGAGTCACCAAGATACACGGGTGGAATTACACTACTCCTAAGAGCACTCTTCCGTGGAATAAAGTACATACATTCAGACTTCTTTGGAGAGAAAATAATATCATGGACAGAGCCATATTCAGAGCAAACATTAACAAGAGTTCGCAAAACACGGGTGGACGGGCTAAGGATAACCAAGTCATAGGCATACATCAGATTGTTGATAAAGAACTCTCCCACCAACCAACCCACGCAACACAGGGACCCACTTTGGTATTTGTATCTAATATATACATTGAAAAGTAATAGCAAAATAATGCTACCTTGAAATAATGATACAGACCAAGCCAAATTATTCCAATTAGAAAAAATGATGTAATCGAATATATCGAGCGCTGAATGGTTGTATTATTTTGAAGAAAAAAAAACTCCCTGAGCATTAATCGTTGATATATTCCGTCTAAACTTCACCTTCAAAACAGTATAATTTAGACCGGAAGATCGTGGCCGAGCATTTAATTCATGAAATCTCAGAAAATTCAGAAGCAACCAGGGCTAGATGGCATGGAAAATGAAACGTGGAAATCATGGACGATTTGACATTTTGAAAAAGGATATTCTACACGACCCAGCTAATTATCGAAGTATATCCTTTTTTAGTTGTTGGGAAATTGATATGGTAGGGTTACTGATGAGATATGAGTTTGTAGCTTTCTTGCCTCTTTTAGGAATAGAATGCAGTTTTTCTGCTGATCTTTTCAACACAGTTGCCTCATCATCTGGGTCTAATTCTGCAGGAGGAAGCTCCTGGAAACCGTTACCACCATGACCAGTAGGGTTTCCTGAAACTGTGTACCAAAATATATTGTAAGAATGAGTAATCTCGCAGATTTCCAAAAAATGGTATATTCTTTAATCTCCCACTTTGATGAAAAACAATTAGGTTGGTTGATCATAGGTACACCACACGGCGAGGGTAACACGGTAAACCATTCGGACAGCGGGGGTATAGGTATGTTGTGGGATTTGAGAAAATTTGGCACAGCCTAACGCATACCACGAGAAGACAGTTTTTCGTGTATTTTTTGTGACAGTGTTCCCGTAAAGTGTCAATAACTCAATGTCAATACCGATTTGATTGCTACTCTTACGGTATGTGAAATCACTAACTGCGCAGCTTAGCCATTGAAAGGGGGTTAAAACCTGCCATTGTCATATCATCTGTTTTGTAAATAGCATTGTTTCTTCGACCGGCATCGCTTCAGGTAAGTCGAAATATTACAGTATGTTTGAACCGGCAAAGTAAAGTGTTTATATTAACCACTGTAGCTAAAAACGACGGCGCATACGGTGTAATTTGTTCGTGCTAGAACATATAAAACGCGAGAATATAAAACACACCAATATCATTAGAAGTTTGGTCGGAATTATCTGTTCTCAAACTCAAGTCATTGAATGAGAAAATTCTCTAGCGACGGGCAGTATTTTATTTCGAATACAATTTGTTGGGAGTTGAAATATTATAGTTTCTGGATATTCCTTACATTTTGAAATTATTATAAATTTAGCATATGCTGAGAATAGCTTTCTGGCGCATTAACGCACGTCTTTCGGCACAGTGCCATCGAATCTAAAAATTACATACGCCACTAAGGAATGTACTATTACTCACTAAATTACTAAATGCATTAATAATGAGTAGCTAGTGGTGTGCTTTTCAATAAAACAAATATGGGATCATTACCGTAGAATTTTTATTACTCTTGTTAGAAAGGGCAAGGTTCACATTAACAAACGAAAATCGGTAAAAATGGGTAACCTACAAGACTAGGTGCAAACCAAGTTTAAAATTGAGAAAGGAAAACATCACGCACAATACGATGTGACGAGCAACCGATTATATAATGTGTCAGTTGCTAGTACAGTAACAACTATATTAATGTAAACTATTTTGGAAACCTATTTCTACGCAAGCCCAAACTTCAATTACATTTGCATAGTTTATCACGAGTGCTATTGGTATTCCGAGGCGGTCAACATCAAAGCACAAGGCGGCCAACGTCAAAGCCCGGTAATATTGTTTTGGTATTACTAATATTCCATCTGCTGAAATACTGAAATTATAGTAGGTTTACACTAATTAGTTTACACTTTACTGCGTGAATAAGATGCGGAATAATTCACACTAATTAAATAAAAAGGCACATGTTCAAATTACTTGTTTTACTCCCGTGTTTTAGGTTTACAAGTTACGTTACTTGTGATGTATGACCGTGTATCAGACATAAATTGTTATTATAACCCTGGAATATATTCATATATATATATATATACACACATTTTGTTTACCAATTACTTTTTAAACTGAGATGCGTATTTGTTTGCACTGAACAACCCCTTTCTGTACTGTAGCATATCCACACTGGAGTTACAAATATTTCGTTCAATACTACTGTTCGTGGTAATATTAGTTTGATTAGATCTCAAAATTGCAATAATTTATATTTTTCACAACATTTGTTTAAACTGTGATAAACACGCGCAATGCTACTCTCCTGTCCATGTCGTTTTTCTCCATCATTAACAACATTTGGTTACCGAAATTTTTGTTGCTATGGTTGCTAAATTGTGAATTTCCTACCCTACTGATTTTCACACCAAGAATTTTGAAAAATTTCGATAATATGCTTTTTCTGTCATATATAAAGAGCATTTTATGTAAACCCCTTGTAAATTAGCTTCTATAATGAGGATCGTGTAATTCTTGTTACTTACGAGCACTGAAGGAAGTTGAATTATACGTGAACACATGTAACTATGTTGAAGTTGTTTTTTAAAAACGTGTCCAATTAGGAGAAAACGGGAAAATCTGTCAAAACACTAAATAATTAACACTTCCACTAAAGATCAACTCGGCGTAATTATCGTTGTTTATAATCACCAAACTAAACAATATTAGCATCTTTGTTTATTTTATAGTTTCAGATGCACCTTCTACGCAACAACGCCAGGAAATAGACTAAGGAGAGTTTAAGCCATACAATACATGTCAACTGATATATCACATACGAGGTACATTACATTTAAAATGAATGAAAATGTTATGAGTTTTGTAACATGTTTTGTAAGATAATAAATTATCTAAAAAATAGTATACGAGAATTGTTTTGTCTGGCATTGTTTTGTTATTATCATAAACGATGAGATCAAACTCAATAAAATTAGGGGCAAGCAGGCAATTCCGAGATATAATTGGTACGTCCTCCACCAAATGAAATAACTTAACATTGGTGTCTATCCATACTGTGGTACGCAACGGTTCACATATACAATGTTTGCGTTGCTATAGTTGATAGGTGATTTGTTCTCCGGTCGTTATGTTAGATTGCTTCCTGGTACAAGATCTTCTCATTTAACACGGCATAACAAAAAAACTAAACATATTTTTTTTCTTCAAAAGACATGCCATAGTTGACCTGACTTAAACGCTGGTTTAATTTACAGAAAATAACACTTACCTGTATCTTGTTTGACAATAGCATACGCTGCAATGACGCATACTACGAGTGTCACGGCTAATCTGGTCATTTTGGAAGCCAGGAAACAATCTTGCTCAGTAACTGCAATGTGGTCTCTGTCACCAAAGTCATACGTGCTTGTAGCTCAATATATATTACAATCACTACGTAGTCTCAATCGATTGTCGAATCAGCATCGGGATCAGGTATTTGTCTAATTAATGGAATTGCAGGTGGCGTGTCGTCTTTGTTGTTAGTGTATATTGGCTCATATTGAAAGCCTAACTGAAACTCTCACGAAATGCAATCAACAAGTTCATTTCCGTTGATGGTTTACACTACGTTGCATTGTTGGATGAAACACGACATCATTCATTGTTTACATCAGTTATTGTGGTAAGATCGATCGGTCGTATTGTTAACTATGAATAAAACATGAATAAACATGTGAGAATTATTTGTTGCTATTCAAACTTAAAAAGTTCCAGTTAAGGTAGATATTTTGCTGATGTCATCACAGTGCGCGTCAAGTTATGTGTTCAGTCTCTTGGCGGTTTGTGTTACACTCAAAATGTTGGTTACTGCGAAAAATTGAAGTAAGCTATGAAAGCAGTGTGAACTAACTAAAATATTACAACTTTGCGGCGCGCCACGCTTTGATAAGCATTAAATGACAGTAGATGGCGCCGTTTCACGTTGACATCGCTCGGGCTTTGCGGCACATGTCGTTAATTAATCTCTTGGAATTTCCTAAAAAAATGCTCAAATAACTGCTTAATTAACTGCTTAATTACTCTACTTGGAACCTATTTCAAAAGTTATCGTTTATTCATTTTATGTTTTAGTTTTTAGTTTCTCCAGTATATATCTAATTTTGAAAAAGATACAAGTGTTTCATGGCGATAATTACTGTGTATGTATTACAGGCCACTCAGCTCATTTTGTTAAGGTTGTAATGCTATATTTTTCTGTTATTGGAGGTGGTGCAATGTAATCCGATATACTGCAGTTGCTGATTATTTCAAATATGTTTTCGTAAATGTAAATTTGGCAACTATCATCCAAATCGTACAGTGAATAATGGTTAGGACGACGGTATATGTATAGCGTAAAGCGCCTCACTTTGCCTACCGTATCGTGTTCGGTGTGCGTGGGTCTCATGCGACGGACCCAAATACACAAATGAACTATAGGAATCACATGTATGATATAATATATAGTAATCGTTGTCCTAAGCATGGAAGGTACTGATTAGTACTGGTTTCTGCTTTCCATGTACTAAGTAACTATTCAAAATAGCTAGACGTTTCGAAAGCGTTGTTTTTACACACAATTTCAACGTTAGCGATCCCGGCAACACCTTTACAAATAAAAATAGTAAACTACTTAAAAATTGGGGTGTAAAATTTGACACTTTTGACCATCAATGTATTTGTCATAGTTATTTCGTGAATGAATTTCATTCTTACAAGGAGGAGGGTGATGCGGGGATCATCATGGTAGCGATTATATTGTCCAACACACAAACAAAACCATGTTTTTATTTTATACGATGTAAACTGTTAAGACTCGCATAAATACTAGTATCCCCCATTGCTTGATAACGGCCCGTCCCTAAATTACACACAGATCTCTATATCCATTGTATTGCAATTCAATTAAACCTCTATTACTTATCAATTCATATTGAAGATGTTTTTTTTTTCGATTCGTGTATTTCAACAAAGACCCATTCATGCTCCCCATTCAATGTATTTGTACCAATAATGGCACAGTTTGGAAATGTTTGTTGATCGCATGTGTCACGAGTGAAAGGACAAACAGAGACATTCACGTGCATGTTCTAGTCAAATTAGGATATGTATTTTCAGTTCAATAGCCTATTCTATTCTATTCTATTCTATTCTATTCTATTCTATTCTATTCTATTCTATTCTATTCTATTCTATTCTATTCTATTCTACTATAAAAACGAAAAAGTAACGAATTTTAGTCCAAATAGGGCAACATTAGTACGGGAAACAGTATATTTTTATATGTATATACTATGCACGGTAAACACGAAGACGCTGCGCTCAATGTCACCACGTCGTGTGAATATGCCGAACACAGCGGCAAAATTTCATTAATAATAATAATAATAATAACTTTATTGCATTCCTAGAAATATAATTTTTCTATCAGTTAGTAGAAAAGTCGTGATAACTACTACTACAAAAAGAAAGTTAGTTGTTAATGGGATAAAGCAAGTTTTACATATCAAATTGCATTTTCATTTCTTGATTGAAATGAGTTATGAATATAGTTACCAATCTTTTTTATGATTACATCATCTTTTGAAGTCATCAAGAAATTAAATTATACATGAATCTATTTGATGAACTTGAAAGAAAAGAAAAATGATTATATTTTGAGTTTATAGTTCATACTTAAGTTCATCACAGGGCTTTCCGCCATTGCTGGCCTACATGTTCACGGTGAATGATTTAATGTGCAGAAAGAAACGTAACACGCAGAACGCTGTATGTGAATCTGTGATATTAGACTGTTTGTATTGCTCTCCGTTCCCGGCATAAACATATAATTGCTAGACAAACGAGTTCAAACAATCATATCATGAGATTGTGAGACCACACGTCGAGTCAGTGCTTTGCTACCTGTATGGAACAAAATCATATTGGAAGTATCGTTATGCATCTTAGAATCCATGCTAATTAGTATATTTGTCCCGAATAAAACACTTTCCGTACCATATTGTAGTGCAATATTTACCAAATTCGCGAACACGTTGACAAGTTTGGTGTCCTAAGATAACATATCACCTGACGTCAGAGGTCATCACCGTCAGAATGTAAACAAACACTACCACTATTATGAGAGTTAATTTCTCTTGGCAATATATGAACTTTTTTTAATATTATAGAATATTCAGTCACAACATCAATCATTTATGTTTGTATGACGATGAGACAAGATGAATAATTGGCACAAGGGGAGGCAAATATTGATGTGCCCTGAAGATTGAGTCTGAAATTTATTTTTTCACCCCACCTCAGATATTTAATTAAAACAACCCTGACACAATTCGCAATCGCGTGATAACAGATAATCTAATAGTTCTATTTAATAAAGTTTTGTAAATTTTATAAGAGTTCATTACTGCAAACATACTTATTTGTCTCTTTCAAAAGATGCACAGCAAGTCGCAATACTTACTCTAGACATTGCTACTCTGGTAGAAAATGTCAAAGCTCTTGCGGTGCATTTCTGTTGTGGCAATAAATTGGCCAACGTACCCTCTACCGGCTACAATAAACATATAGCGAACACACGACACTTACTGTCACTCACGTACTCGATGCTTGTCACAAATTTTTTGGATAAATGCGTTGTCAAACTTGCTAAATCGGGAAAAATTTAACGCGGGAATTTCGGCGGTTGATATGATATTAAAATTTAATCGTTTCAACTTGCAGGCGACACAAACGTGTTGACATGCATTTCCAAGACTATAATGTAATACTTAATAATTTAGTATGACTAATTTGACAAAATAAAAAAATGTCAATGACACAGGTCGAGGCATTTTAGTGTCGATAGATCGTTGGAGGTTGCTGGGAAAGTGAAGTTAAACTTGACAAAGCAGTATAGAGCCATACGAAAAGTACTGCTTTTTTTAGTTCGAACATCAGTAGGGTAAAACTAACCAGTCTCACGGCGGTCTGATCCCAACTATAACATTTTAAGCGGTTTGGGCTGTATAACTGAGTAATTATATCCAAATTTATTAATAATGCACATGTACTGTGGGTGTTGTATATGTGCTGCGCTGTATTAATCACATATCCATTTTACAACAGACATAATATCTGGTAACTAATTACAATAAGCATTGTTAACCTTACATATACAAAAACTCAACATTTAATTGGGTCATATTGCATAAATAACTTACGAATATCTTTTACTACATTTTGAACGTGACAAGGTTCGTAAGCCGCCAACTGATCTGATATTTACTTTTGAGCTAGGCTTTCGTACCCATGTAGAGCCGTGGGTCGTCCATATCTTCAAACAAGTGGTAATTTCTATAAATATATGAAGGTCACAAAACAGTCACCGTCTTGGCAAGAGTGTCGAATTTGTATGTAAATGCGGGCGAGTGAGTTCTAGCTATTGCCTGCGGGCAGGGATTTATATGGATAATGCCGGCAATGGGACAATCGACAGATAATGTTCCACGAGAAGTACTGCAACACCTAAAGCAATGAGTAAAATTGCCAGAAACAGATATGTATTGCAAACACCAAACATGTTCATGAGCCATAGACAGGGAAAAAGAGGGTGTTGGTTAGTTTTAATTTTTTGTGTTCTGAATTTTCCAATGACCACTTTCAGAGGTTTCTGCTTCTGGCAATTCCACTATAATGATCTAGTTTCTAACACCGCAGAACAACGAAGTACCAGAATAACGGGCTTGTTCTCTTTGATTAAAAATAACGATACACATACAAATATTAGTCTCAAAGTGTGGCACGTGATACGTAACTGTTTGTGTGTGTAGATGAATTTATAGAATGATAGCGGATAACACGACCAGGATGATTTCCCTGCGGATATACTGAACCTGTCATACAATCAATCATTTCACCGTGGGAGATCGAGTTGAGATTTGAGTTTGTCCGACACCTCTGGCCAGTCCTATCAAAACCACCCGAAACATCGGGAGTCGTTAATATTGGGAGCCGTCCTCAATTTCCAGTGACCGAAACGAGTTTGTTATAATTCATTATTTCTTTGTTATATCCCCGTCCGTTGCATTCCTAATCGTTAACGGGCATTATCGACCACTTCGGGGCTCCCAGCCCCAAACTTTTACAAGACCCTGGCCGTTGATTCCCATAAACGTGCTTGTAAGGCTACGATAATTACTAGTTAATTGCGCGAGAAGTTGTGCTATGTAGCGACAATCTGACGAAAACACAAAACATGTCCATCAATGATGATTTAATAGGTAATTATTTTATAACAAAGTGTTTCTCCCACAACAAACTATTTCCTTTTACCGACGTTGTAAGGGGCCTGATGATTTTCCCGCTGATATAGCATATCTGTCTTACAACCAGTTATTAATCTCTAGTATACACACAAGTTACCGTAGTACATGGAACCGCCACAATTCCGACTTGGCGGTGGTGCATGCAAGTTGAAAAAATAATATGATGGTAATATTATACATTTATACATTTTTTGTCAAGTCAATAAAACAAAATCTACACTCTGACCAGAACATAATGCCGAATGATCTTGTTACGACAACCCACCAATTCTATCTGCCTCAGGCCGAGGATATTTTTAGAGACGAGTGACGAAAACACAATCTTTATATATCCTTCGGGATGGTATGTGCCACACACGCCAGTCATTAACAGAGTGTTATAAATGTTTACAAGTAATTGTGTTTAGAAATCTAAATAAAACCCTATCAAAAGTTGACACCCGTGCCATACCTGGATATGAATGCAATAATTAGATATTGCACTGCCCTGCAATCCTACGAATACTATCCCGAAAACAAATATGTCAGATATTGAGAAGACGTCTTCCGCATTGGTGTTGATGGTATGAATTAAAGTGACAACGTACAAAACAGATTGAAAAAAATGGCATATTAGAGCTCTCATAAAACGTATACAAAAGGCGTGTCATTTCGTTGTTATAACCCAGTCTTTGTGCAAGCAAATACAAAAAATAGTTAGTTATGGCTCTCTCAAAAGTCGGGCGCAACTGGCCCCCTCGAAGGTATGTGATGTTACCAAACATAATCGATACTGTATACAAAATTAGAATGATCAGAAATCATCAATACGACCACGCTGTTTACGATTACCGGTGTTTTGGCCTTTAAAAGTTGGGAAATAGAAACATGAGATGAACAGGGCAACTGGATTATCCTGCAATATGTATTGCAAGAACAAATTTCTGAACAATACGTGTAATAAATTTTGACATTGAAAAAGTATTCTGTTGTTATGAGATAATGGAAAGAAAATATTCCCACGGTAAAATGTTGTCTTGTAATCACGGTTTTATATGTATAGACTTGAGTCCTACATTCAGTGGGTTTAAATATTGTCTTGATTCTGATAAAGTGAATGTAAGCTTATTCGGGCTTGAAAATGTTACAAATCAGCTCAATATATTGATGCATGGCTATTTATACTAATAAAGGTACAAGACAACTTTGTGTAATTAAAACCAATGTATTAGGTCGTTGTCGCTGCACAGCGCGTGTTCGAATTTCGTGACAAACAATGCTGTTTACACGGGTTGTATACGTTGCTATGAGAACCATATACATGTAGAACAGGGCGCACCACTACGACTGAAGCGTTTTAAACAGTAACGTTCAATGTGGTACAAAGCTAGGCAAATACGTGAACCCCCGATCTAAAGAAGTACAACCCAGCCATGCATTGTAACTAGGCTAATATAGTTATCAAATTATTGAATTCACGGGTCAACGTGCATATAGAGCGGGTTCAAGCTCCCCGTGATGAAAAATATTACTAATTCTGTGTATACGTTGTCGCATGTTTTTCAATATTTCATATAGAGGATCTCCAATGATTGGTCGAGCGATATTAGATTTATTAAACAAATGTATTCTAATTATTTGTATGCATTGCATACCCATATTCGTTTGACTTAGTGATATACGCATGTCTCTCACACGGATCCATTGTCATAAAAACAGTTCACAAGCATCAATTTTTATAATTTTTATTATTAAGACAATGCTCGTGTAATGAAAGCAGACTGTATTGCACTACATACATAACTTAACATTGTTATTATACTTATAAAGTTAACTTATCGGTAAAAAAAAAGTGAAAAAAGTTCAACTAACTTCTTTGATTGGCACCCAACATTAAGTAAATTGTTTTCTAAGATTCTAAGTTTCAGTTTTGACAATTGTGTTCCAGTAAAACTGGAAAATGGTTGAAAAATTGGGTGCCTGTAAAACATCATTTATGCCATATTGACAATTACAAGGAATCAATGGTGATAGTTCAACATTCCGGTATCAGAACAACACAAAGTATGTAAATAATATACAATATAAACTACATCAGTCTATCTGTTAAATTCTGTATTGTGGCTTCTCCAAAGATTGAAAGTTTGTTTTTTGTGGACTATGGTTAAGCACATTTAATATAACACCTACAACTACAAAAACGAACTATTTTGACAGGCAGGTATTTCAATAGAGCACGAATTGTTAACAAAAGAAGTCCATATTCACCCTATACAGAATGTTTTACTAAATTACTATCTCTTTGCATACGAACTTTCATCGAAGCGATATACAACCAGCAATTTAGATTTTCTTAGTTTCTTTAGTTTTTTCTAGTTTTTTTAATGTAGCTTCCAATAGAGTTGACAAAATAAGACAACTGCTTTTCTTCCACCTTCTGTTCAGCCCAAAGTCCTTTGTAATGTGTTGACTTGTTTCATAAGCATCTTTCTTTGCCTTGTGCATCTTCTATCAATCTTCTTAGGCTTAATTCTCAGCTGTTGAATAAAAAAGGGATGTTAAGGTAAACAGTATTTGAAATAATCCTCTGCTTTTGGTTCCTGCTAATAAAACAATGTCATTAATGTGAATTAATATTGAGACATGAATCAAGTGCATTAAGATTAATAGTCACTCTGAACACCCAGTTAGTCACTCAGTTAAACAGTAATACATGAGGGAAAATAATGAGTATGGGTACTGTGTCATTTAATTGCACTTAACAAAATACTCCAACAAGCATTCCAGCATAAATATTATGTAAATATCATACATATAAAACTCTGATATCAAAATGGCTACCTGAACAACCAGTCTAACAAAGCTAAATATCTATCTTTTTCACACAATAACTTTGCTCAATAACAGCTGACATAGTAGAGTAGTGAATTAATATCTTCCAGTCATATACCAGTGGTGTGTAAATTCAAGATCTGTATATTTTCACACTTTTATAAACACATTTTTTTTTAGTAACACATTTTGAGTATTATTTTAAAACACAATTATTTTATAATGAGTTATAGTAAGAAGTTCATGTATTAGCATAAGTGTCATTGAATACATATAGACAAGAAGATTATTTTCGGACCTAGAGAGAGAAAGAGCAAACATTAGACATGCTAGAGTGGGTGCAGTGATGTACAACATGAGATTAGCACTCGGAATGAACCTTATTTAGGTGGCTCTTCTTTAGCTTTTTTAGCTCCAAACCCTTTCCTAGCTCGCATTCCTTTAAACTGGGCTTGGATTTTCAGTGCTGCTTTCTCAGTTTCTGGATCATCCAAGTCAATGTCAATTTCTTCTTCTTCTGTTGGTGCTGGTTTTGGTGGTTCTACAATTGAATGCATTTGATGTGTGAGCAAAAAAGCTGTATGCTGTATGCTGCTGCTGCATTATAAGACAGGTATAGATATATCATGCTGGAACAGAAGGAGTAAACACACAGCAGCAAGTTTGTAAATATATTACTATTTTCTTGATTTTGTACCAGACGTTGACATATATTAGTTATGTTAGAAATATAGCTCAAACATTAAACTACTAATGGTAAAATCAGTGAAATCAATAAAAATATGTTTCTTGAATCACACCAATTTATCAAATATGAGTGGGATACTTTCAATGTAGAAAATAAGAAAGAGTGAATTAATACCTAGGTTAGAGAAAATAGAAGATTGAGAGATGGTAGGATGGAATAGGGCAGAACAGGATAGAGTAGGATAGGATAGGTGATGGAATCGTAACGTAGATATCCCTAAGAGTATTTGAATTATGATAGAAGTAGTCACAATGGCCACTGATTGGATGAATGAATTCAACCTTGTTTTGGAGGTTCTTCTGTGGCTTTCTTAGCTGCAGCACCTTTCCTAGCTTTGAAACCTTTGAACTGAGCTTGAATTTTCAGAGCTGCCTTTTCCGTCTCAGGATCATCCAAATCAATGTCTATTTCCTCTTCCTCTGCGGGTTTGGGTGGCGCTAAAATCAAATTAATTGATTGGGTGAATGTCATAAAATGTAACATTTAAGTGCATCAACTCAATTCAGGCTTGATCAAAACGTGCTAAAAAGAAGTGCAGAGAATGTGAAGTGCTAGAATAGAAAGATGTATTATGTTAATAAAACATGAAATTTCATAATAATAATTTCATATTGTCCTGCGATGGGGCTGTACTTTCAGTTGAAAAGCAGTATATACATAATCCACCAGATGGAGTTCCCAATGAGCCAACAAGTCATGAATTGGGCCCCTTTTGAGCAAACACTAAAGACAAGCAGCCTGTCGGCTGAGATAGCTCCGCTGTTAGCATGCACATTTCAATTAAAGAACTGAAGACATCATCAGAAAATGAACAATATGTATAGTATCAAAGCTATCGGACTTGCAGTTTTTAACAAGAAGTCGAAAATATCACTTTTTACCAAAAATGACAAAAATATTCACCAAAATTAGAGAATTGAAGATATCAACATGAAATGAACAAACCTAAGCAGTCTACCCAAGGTACAGGTACACCAAGTATCAAAGCATTCAGGCTTGTAGTTTTCAAGAAGAAGTCGAAAAAGTAAAACATTGACACGGACGACGGACAACGGACGACGACGACGGACAATCACTCATATGATAAGCTCCGCTCGACAAAGTCGACAGCGGAGCTAAAAAAGGGGTCTACAGTTTTCGCAAAATACTTTAAAGGGGTGTCTGTTTAAATAATGGTATTGCTTGAAGGAATGGTGACACAACCATATCATTTTCCCAGGATATTGCCCCCTCCACAAATGAAAATGCTACGATACTAAATATTGACACTTTCCTCACCAAAATGTGTGGGGATCTTTTGTTTTTACTAGGGTATAGCTATTTATTATTCACAGTACGGTGTATGACATTTAATTTCCGAAAGACAGTGAAACATTCAAATAGATGTAGCAGTACGTACTAACTATATACTCGTATAGTGCTTGGGTGCTTTTGAAATCAGAAAAAAACTGCACATGCTGAAGAAGAGATGTGAAGTGATTTACAGAGCGACTGAGCTTAAATTGCATCTTAAGTAATCAACAAACATGCATATCTGAAACAAGTGTATAGCAAGCTTTTTTAAACCAATTGTCGAAGCTCTAAATTGTCATAATGAATTTACACCTTTTTCAACAATGGGTTTAAATTATATGACCAGAATCTAAAAATATGATGACATGAATCAAAATATACCAGTGAAATGTGAGGACATATGTAAAGAGTCAGCTTTCGTATAGTAAATACAACCAAGACATCCACAAAACAAGACTATCAAGCCTATTTGTATTAGAATAAGTGCAACTTATTCTTCATTTTAGAGAAATCCTAGATTATTGTTTTTAGCTGACAATCTTCATTAATTCCAAAGCATAAATATATGTTTCAAGGATGTATATATTTGTCACAGACCACTATAAACATAAATAACTCAACCTTCTTGAGGTTTTTCCTCCTTAACTGTATCAGCATTTTTAGTTACAAAACCTTTCCTAGCTCTCATTCCTTTAAACTGGGCTTGAATTTTAAGTGCTGCCTTTTCTGTCTCTGGATCATCAAGATCAATGTCAATTTCTTCTGCTTCTGTTTGCTTTGATGAGTCTGCAGAATGTGTAATGGTAAATAACGACAGGATAGGTGTTTACAAGCAATCAGCACTGGTAAAAGAATCGTGTACAGCACCACCATGAACAAATAGTAATAATTCATCTCCAGCCAAGTGCAGTTTATTGCCGCATTGCTGTCACAGCTCATAGCTAAAGCAATAATACTGGTAGCTTTCATATGTTTTCGTAAGTTAATCAAAACCCATGCATAATATTGTTATCCATGAATTTTAGGTTTACTAATCGCCAGCTAAGGAAAAGGGAATATGGGTTTCATGCATTATTGGCAAGACCAGAGTCTGGGAAAGGAGCAAGAATGAGAAGCATGTCAGAAAATTTCCAAAAGAATTTCTCAAACAAAACCAAAAGCCTGTCCATAGATGTTTTTATAGCTACAAATTCTATCCCTGATAGTGTGTATCTCATTCTTGCACTGGGAGAAAATAAATAATTCAACTATAATTAAATATTAATGACAGTCATCTGAAATAAAATAAGAGTATTAGATAGAATGAACACTCGATCTGTTAGTTTAACTCCGCATCAGCATATAATAAAATTATGGACCTGGTTCTGGCTTGGGTTCTTCTTTTTGTTTTTCATCTTTCTTGGCTGCAAGATTTTTCCTTGCTTTCAAACCCTTGAAACTAGCTTGTATCTTAAGAGCTGCCTTTTCAGTTTCCGGGTCATCCAAATCTATATCTATCTCTTCCTCCTCAGGAGAAGATTTTGGTGGTTCAGGTTTAGGGGTTTCAGGCTTTTCAGGTGCTATACAATGGGACGGAAAGTTTAAACGAAAAATGTCATACAAGTTTTTTTTTATTTTGTTTATCAAATACTAGCAGTGAATGCCATAGAAATACGTTATCACATAGTTTGCCCAAGTGATTTAAGTATGCAACAGTTGTATATTCTATTGAAGATTTAACAGATACAAGTTGTTCTCCAAGCTTACTGTAAGACAATTAAAAAGTCATATTTTTACTTATTCTAGTCACTCTTCTGGTTATTATAATACTTGTTTTTGGTAATCATTAACTGTGTTTACATGATATTATGTTCAGCAGGGTTATATTAATATTACAAGTCATAGTCATATTAAGGTCAATATAATATAATTCAATAATCCTGAAATGAAGAATTATAGAACAGAAAATACAAGGAGAAGATGTTACACATCAGCCAGTCTGCAACAGTTTTCAATCTTTCCGCCCAACTGCAGTCAATATCTGCTGAACAGAAACCTGGTGCAATGGTTATCTTTGTTGTTGTTGAATAGTTAAAATCGTGCTACTTCAAAACCAGTGTTAGTGTCACACAATAACGTTTTCATATGTTGGTTATAACCGCAACATAACAATGCACCTTTAGCCTTGACTTCTCTTCTTGTTTTCATGCCTTTAAAGCTGGCTTGGATCTTTACTGCAGCTTTCTCTACATCAGGATCATCAAGATCAATGTCAATTTCCTCATCTTGTGTAGTTTCAACTACTGTATAACAAGAGAGATTTACATCATGACATTAATACATCATGCCCGGAAAGATCTTGTGGAATCCAATCAATACATTTACTCTCAAGGATGAATGTCTGTTAGTTGGCAGTTGCTTTGATGCCAATTCCATATTATTTCTGCCTTTTATTTGGTATACTTGTATTTGGCTGAACAGTATATGTACACAGATCCAACATTATTATTTTGAATGATTGAGCTTAATTGATGAGCCCTTAAGCAGTATTGAATAACATGTAGTGACGGTAGAAGCATTAATATTACCAGCAAAGCTAGTAAATTAGTAACAGCTTATGATGATGATGTAAACCCTCTGATGCCATAGCGTTCAATTGACACATGAAATTAGTGTCAGATTCTTCAGCTGACAGTTCACAGCGACCACTCTGCGCTGAAGTGATGATGGTTAATAGCTGCTACTTCAGATGAAACTGGTATCGTCATGATTTTGTTAGTTCCCGACTTTCAAGAATGTTAGCAGAGATGATGAACTTTTAGACTGCGGATTATAGATAAAGGCGGAAAGAAGCTGTTAATTTTGCTGTTTCTATAATGATGATGATGATGATGGTTGACACCTGCATTGTAGGCATTCGAATTAGCTTAAGCTAGTGAGTACGAAACAATGATTATTAGATACAGCTTTTAGTTTAATTTTGATAACTAGAAAATAAATCTATTTTAACCTGTAACAGTTTTACTTTTTTCCTCTTTAATGTGTCTACGTGCTTTCAACCCTTTGAAACCTGCTTGGATCTTAACAGCTGCTGCTTCTACTTCCGGGTCATCCAGATCAATATCAATCACTTCTTCTTCTGAAGCTTCAACTGTAATATATACGTTGTAAAATTTGGAAGCTGACATTGAGTCTCTGTTAATCAGTTTTAGATTTGCTGTTGAAGTTAGAGTTCTGCGGCTTGATCACACACATGCTGATGGATTGATTATGGAGATATCCTGTTACTGTAATTCACAATAGTGCTTTATCCAAGTATTATTTTCTTCCCATAAATACACATTACTGTTAGATCAGAAAGATGTCTCCAGATTCCTAATACATATAGTTCCACGGCAGGTTGTTAGTAGATTGGTATTTTAGTATCTTGTAGTCAGTTCACTCAACTCAACTCAATAACAAGGCAATGCAGTAGTTCATTAGAATACACTCATCACATGATCTAGTGCTTTGTTTATTTCTTTCCAGAATAAACATGATGGATGTCATTTTCAAGAAGTTAATATTGGGCTACTGTTACTGTACAACTGCAGTAGTGTTAGTTTTGTACATTAGTTATGCTGATCCTCATGGATTGTTTCTGCTCTAAAAATGCATGGCATCAGGAAATAAAATCTCAATTAGACATGCCATGTCGATAAACAATTCCAGTACGCTGTTATATTCAAGGTTTCTCATTTTATTTTCTGGGGATACCTTCTCAACAGCAAAGTTGTGACAGTATGTTATCTGCAAGTTCTGACCAGAATATATATGTCATACTTTTGACATTGTGTCATATATGTAAGTAGTTAGCATGTGTGAACATTCTAGGACTGATAAGGTAAGTGAGGGCGCCCATTACAGCTGACATAAATACAGAGTTATGAGCTACATTTTCATAAAACTGGATAATTCGGGCCCCTGGGTGTTAAACCCGCAAGGATGACATTAATACAATACATTAACCAATGCACTTATAGATGGTTATGTTTACTGATAATGTGACTGGCTCTATACTAGGTATTCAAAATCTATTATTCAGAACCAGGTAATTATGGTAAGATGTATTAATAGGTGTAGGTATAGGTTTTTTTAGATTTGAATGAGATTAATGTATATCAAAAGATCCATATATAATACGAATCATATTGATCTGAGTAAGCTGTGTGGTGTACTAGTCAGTTGTTGTTATTTGATTATTTTGTGAACTGTTTTGTGTTCTTAGATTTTTCTATGCGAGATCTATGATTGGGTATGTTATTTCTACTTCACACTTGCACCCAATTTAGACCACATAACTATTGTTATTTTAGTAATTATTCAACATGATTAGCTGTTTATGACTGGAGACTGGAAGCTATTTTAACCTTTAACAACTTTACTTTTTTCTTCTTTAATTTGTTTACGTGCTTTCAATCCTTTAAACCCTGCTTGGATCTTGACAGCAGCTGCTTCTACTTCCGGGTCATCCAGGTCAATATCAATTTCCTCTTCAACTTCAACTTTTTTTGTGACGACAACTGTTACAGCACCATCAAAAATATAGAACAACAATTCAAGCTCGTGGCCACACTCCAACTTTAAAACGACCGAGCAACACTATGAAAACTAGTATGTAGTAAAGTGTGCTCTTGTGTCAGAATTGTTCAACAAAATCAGTTCATAATTCAAATCGTTCATAAAATAAAGAAAAAGTTTGTATATACATTTCTCTTGCTAATTATTATACTGTGGATTGCAACTTTAAGTTCAACAACAACTGAATATAAAAAATAACTATTTTACACAAAAGCAATCCCCCCACATGTAAACATATATAATTCTACTTTCTATGTTGTTTGCTTTCTTTCAACATACCTCACATAACACCTGCAAAGAAAATGGAGAGATTAAAATGCTAATGTTCACCTTCCGTCTCTTTTTGCTGTCTGTGTTTCTTGGCTTGGAATCCTCTGTAACTGGCTTGAATTTTAATGGCAGCTTTCTTTGTCTCTGGGTCATCTAAATCAATGTCAATTTCTTCTAAACCAAATTTGATTTTAGTTCTTGGATCAACAGCTACAAGAAAAGTTATGTGATATTTGCCTTCAAGACTATGTAAACATTGCATTTTTTTCACTCTACAATATATATATGTAGCTGAGATTTGAAAGTGAAATTAAAAAAACTACAAAACTCCATACCACAGCATGGTATATACTACAAAACTCCATACCACAGCATCATATATACTACAAAACTCCATACCACTACATGGTATAAACTACAAAACTTTATACCACTACATGGTATAAACTACAAAACTTTATACCACTACATGGTATATACAACAAAACTCCATACCACTACATGGTATATACTACAAAACTCCATACCACTACATGGTATAT